ATCATTAATATCATTATAAACAAATAATACATAAAATAAATGTTCTCATTATAATAAAAGAATAAATAAAATTTCATTATAACATCTAGAATTGAGACATGAAATCTACACAATGATTTCGTACCATTAGTATATTATGAGATAATAACAACTTACTGTGGGTATTGAGATAAAAGCACAAAAAATTATCATATAAAAAGATAATTAAATAATAAATAACGATGACATGTTTGTTGCACAAAATTACACACTATTTTTATTATACTTTATTTACTTGATATTCGTTAAGATATTCATTTTGCAGATATCACATTTGTCTACTATCATACCTTTAAAACAGGGGTTAAATATTCGGCAACACCAAGAGCAGTGCCTTTTACGGAATTAATAACACTCTGCATTGTAAATACGTTTGACTAATTCTATTTTAGAAAAAGATTAAAGAGAAGGTTTGCTAAGTGCAAACATTCATATAATATCAACAGTTTCCAACGTATTATCGATTCGAGCGAACATGGAAGTTCTATACAGTTCTATATGCGGTACCAAAATGTTTCCTTTCCATGAACTTCCCCTACTAACTGTTACTGTCACACTGTCACGGATGTACAGTAGTGCCTCACCATAGTAAGCCCATGCGGGGGCAACCGACTAAGAATTATGAAGCTGGTAGAGAAACTGTTCTCCTCTGATTGGTCGATACTTCACAACTAAATAGTGCTGCCCTCACAGTTTTAGGCAAAGGGGGGAAGTGGCGAGTGAGCAAGAGAGCATGACGTCAGCACAACTACATGCGAAACAAGTCACACCGACGACCCATGTAGCTTGTCTTACTCTACCATGCTTGCAATTTCACTCTATTCGCGCATCTGTTTGCCTGGTCCTCAATCTGAAACACTCGGCGCGATATTCGATTTATACTTTTCGCCTTGTAGGATTCTCGATCACATAGTTTTGCGTATTTGCGAACTCTCCTTTTTTATTATCTTTTCAATATTTATAGGTTTGCAGAAATTTTATAATAGTGTCAAATAAAAAACTTTTATAAAAGTTCAAATCTGGATAGCGTCCAACAAACGCGTTATACGCGCTACATACATACATGTATAATATATGTATACATACATATATATTAAAACTGTATTATTCTTATTTCTTCGGTTCGTATTATTATATAATATGTTTGCAAAATTAGGAAAAGGACATAGTAATAGTAACTGATGAAAAATTGTATAAACTTTACGGTAATATAAAGAACATATAACATTTTTTAAGACTCGATCGATCATTTGAGTGATTAAATTTAACAGTCGTATAAATAATACGATTTAACAATATGTATCTATAGTATTACTTTCTTTATATGCTGTATCAATCATTTAATTGCATAAATTATAGTTTGTGTTTGAAAATATCATTCAGAAAATCATGTGATTTGCTATAATTTTTATTTATAAACGTTTGTACTAAACACACACATACATATAAGTATCACAATTCTACATTAACTAGCAAA